CGCCGGTTGCCCCACACACAGAGGGCGACCCGCGGCAGGGGTGGGGCTGGTGAGCGGGCAGCAATAGCCGACCTCTCGGTCCCTCCCCCGGCCATCAGGCTCCCATCGCCGGATGGCAAATGGGGAACCGGGGTGGGTGGCAGCGAGATGGCCCTGATCACAGGCTAGGCCTAGGGACCGTACCTGTGCATGATTTCGTGCACCAGGCCTCTAGTTAATAGTTAATCAAATGAGACATCGACTTCTAGTTTAGCTATACCATCATGTGTTGAGGTATTTCGATACCAATGGACATGAACTATATTTCCAGATATTGACCACTAGAAACAATGCTATTTGTTTCTCATGCATATTTCCTAAACAATTCATACCTCTATTTTTAGCAGCTAAATATCAAAGGCAGACCTGTTAGAACCAAAGTGATGGGTACTGTTAATAGTCCCAAGTGTTTCTGAGTTACTTTCCAAAAAGTTAGAGCTACTCACATTTCCAAGAGCCATGTTCAAAAGTGACTTTGGATCTCTAGTTCTGCCTAGTTGGCGCAAGCCCAATCCTCTCAAGTCCCCCATCTTAAAAACTAAAAATCCCCGGGCATACTATTTTTAAAAGCACAGGAATGCCCGGCCGGCATGGCTCAGTGGTTCAACGTCAACCTATGAACCAAGAGGTCATGGTTAGATTCACGGTCAGGGCACATGCCCAGGCTGTGGCCTCAGTCCCCAGTGGGGGGCATGCAGGAGGCAGCCAATCAATGATTCTCTCTCATCTTTGATGTTTCTATCTCTTTCTCCCTCTCCCTTCCTCTCTGAAATCATAAAACTACATTAGAGATCAGCACTATCATGAACACTTGTCATTGCTTTGATGAGGAGACATTAACTTTGACCTCTAATTAAGCAAAATGTTCTCTCTCCCCACCCACCAAAAAAAATTCTATTCTTCTCATTATACCTGTATTATAAAATATATGTACTCAATTTGTTTTCTCTCTTGTTATAAGTACCTACATAATATTCACAATTTTGCCTCTTGATGCACAAATCCTAAAATATTTACTCTCTAGTTGTTCACAAGAAAAAGTCTGTCAATCCCTAATCAAGATCCATCTCAACAATGCCAGGCTCTCCTCCACATTCTATAATAATTATAATGCTAGACTGAGAAATAGATATTAGACCATGTCTTTAAGGTCTCTCTGTGATTCAACAGTGCATATGGACTAGATAGTTCAGAAGATGCTACTCAAGAAGCATTGAGTGTGAAGAGAACCAGGTACATGCAGGACGGCTCCGGGGAGGTGAAGCCCAGAGAGTGAGAGACCTGCCCGTCCTAACACTCCCGATCCGGCCCTGCTCCTTCCTCTATTTCACCAGGCTGTCCTGAGGGCTGGCAACTGCACATTCCAGAGTCCTACAATGATGAAAACTACCACCAAGACCCTGGTCCAGGAATACCTCCCAAAGACGCAAGCCAGAGCCACCTCAACACCTGCCTTGGATCGTCCTCAGACCTGGGAAACTCCAGCTAGTTCCCACCACCTGCTTCAGTTTCACAGCCTCCCTGGTCTCCAGGGTGTCCAAGCTGAGGCTGCACATGAAATATTAAACCCTTGAGAAAACCGAGAAAAAAATTCAATTCCAGATACACAGAGGCTAAAAAATAATGAAACGAGCACCAATCTGAAGACGTTGATGAAATCATCAGAGAAAGTCATACCTTGCTTGGCAGCTGAGCAGCAGCATCTCGTGGTTATGGATCAAAATATATAAAAGAACCAGGAAGGCTTTGGCTCGAATGGAAGTTGAGGGGCTGTCAAGCAAACGGATAATTGTAGAGACAAAATCCTGTGGAAGACATTAACATTTGCTTTAGAAAACAGGAAATAAATAGGGCAGTCAACTCTCAAGGTTAATGGATTATAATAACCAAACAGAAAGCAGGCAGTAAAATAATATCAGCTACCATGTCTGCATTCTTAATTTGTGCCAGATGCTATAGTAAATTTTTAGTATGTATGATCTCATTTAAACATGAAAATCAGCCATAAAAAGTTGGCAATATTCTCCCTATTTTGAAAAAGAAATATGAATCTTGAAAGGTTATGTGATTTGCCCAAATCCACAAAGTTGGATTCAAATCCCGGCCAGTCGGACAGCAAAGCCTGCCTCTTAACCACTCAAAGACACAAGTGCCAGTGTGGCCATGATAACTAGAGCTGGCGGCCATCACTGCAGGCAGACAGGAGCCTCTGAGCAAACCTGCACATACATGCTCAGGTCCTAGAGACGTAAAATAAAAACGATACCCAACACGTGGCACAAGAGAAAACATATACCCTATGTAATTAAAGGTATAATGCAGAACAGAAGAATAAGTATTAGTTTTTTTCCCCTTCTAACAAAGAGATTGTACATCATTTCAGGTGTCTATTAATGTGCAAAAAGAAAACACAGACACACACACATACACACACACAGTTAATGAATGTACGTAGGCAAGAATATGGAATTGTGTTGTCACCGAACAAAGAGATTGTACATCATTTCAGGTGTCTATTAATATGCAAAAAGAAAACACAGACACACACACAGTTAATGAATGTAAGTAGGCAAGAATATGGAATTGTGTTGTCACCAAGATGGCTGCAGAGCAGGAATACAAATTCCTAAGAGTCTTTCACAGAGGCAGCACCTAGCGGTGACAGCGTGTCCCAGGCAGATGTAAGCAGCTTGGGTTTTTGCCACGCCCCGGGCCTTTACAGTGGGTGCGATATTGTCAGACAGGAAGAATGTACACAGTCAGGTGTATGTTTCTGTGAAGGATGGAGACGTATCTATGTATCTCTACCTATGCATCAGTCTCACCTAGTTCCTGGGGAAAAAAAAAAAGCCAATTCATCACCATTCTATTCAAAACAGAATCAACACCAAGGTTCCCTGAGTAACAGATCTGCTTCCACCTTATGTCAGTCAACTATCCACCTTTCCCCACAGTCACCTTCCAGTTCTAATGTAGACTCTGTGGTCCAAGGACCATGATCACAAATCTATTTTCCACACCAACACGACCCTACACACACACACACACACACACACACACACACACACACACAATTCCAAAGCCATTCAAACATCCGCTAGCCGAAGACTGAAAGACTACTCCAGATTCTAGGACACTAAAAAGACATGGTAACTGACTACAATTCAAGATCTGGAGGTTTTGTTCTGCATAAAAGGACATTACAAGGACAATTGCAAAATCTGAATAAGGTCTATAGATTAGCTAATAATGATAAATTAATGTGAACTTGATTTTTAAATCCATGGCTTGTTTGGGGGGAATATTCGGTGAAATAATTGAAGGAAATATCTTCTATAATTGGTAAGAACACACATGTAAGAGATAGAAAGAGAGAAAAACTATAAAGCAAATATGGTAAAATGTTAGCCTTTGGTGAATGTGAGTGAAGGGTATATTGCAATCATTTGTATTACACATCCAACATTAAACTTAGCACCTAATCAAAAGGAGATCTACTCCAAGGATCATCGACCCAATAGCTAAAGTTAGAATTCTGAGCATCTTTGACTTTCTCTTCCTCCTCCATCGCATGTCCAATAGATTCCCAATTCCTGCGAGAACACCACCCCACCATCGATGCCTTATTTCAATGCACCATCTTTCCTGAATTACTGCAGGAGGCTTTATCCATCCTTGCATTCTTCCATCTATTCTATAAGATGCAGCTGCAATGAGCTTCTAAGACAGCAAATACGATTATGTTAGTCACCTATAAGTTGACTATTATGTTCAACTATTCTCAACAGTAGCTGCGACCCTTGAGATTAAGTCAGTACTAAGATTCTTGCAAATTAAAATGATACACTTAGGATTTTGAGTGAAACCAACAAGGCAAACTACAGCAAATACCAGAAATAAAGGAAACGGGATTCTGAAGAAGACTGCCATTGGGATCTAAGCCTAAAAGCATCTCGTGCCCTAAATAAATTCTCATTTGGCCACTTCAGAAAAACTGAATGGGCAGCACTGACCACCTCCCTACAACTAGTTGCACAGGGCCCCGTGTTTAATCTTACACAATGGCACCACACTTCTAGAACAATTATTCTTACAACATCTGAGGAGGGAAGATTACAGACGGCAGGCAAAGGCTTAAGGCCACGGATGACTAATCAAACGACCTTCAGAGAAGCACAAATGACCTCGGGTCACTTCGGCACGCAATCCACTGTGTACACAGCTTTGACTGAAATCCACCCTGCCATTCAGCTCAGCACACCTAGAAATTGCATGTGGGAACAAAAAGCGGAAGCCAAAACACAGCAGGATGAGTTTATGTCCAACATTCAAATGGTACTTGACAGATTTCAGAATGGACATATCTATCGAACATAAAGATGATGGGACGGAATATTCAAAATGTTAGGAATGGGCCCACACAGTGGAAGCATCCACCACAAACAAAATGTTACCCTTATCATAAATTAAACAAAAGGTTGAGCCATCCCTTAAAAGGGGAAAATAGGAGGTGGATCAAAATAGTGATGAGGTAGAACACTTCAGAATTATCTCTTATAAATCTCAAGCTGTGAAACTGATCTGCTTCAATCAACTGTCCCAGGAGAAAATCGAGGACAGCCTGGCCATCGCTGATAACAGCCTCCAGGAAAAGCAGTGAGAAATCACGTGCATAACTACACTGACACGATTTTCACACTGACGGAAATGAAAACCACGCTGATTAAATCTAAGATGGCTTTTGGATTCACCTTCCTTAAAGAAGTTTAGCCAGGTATCTAAGTAAAAAATGTCTCAAGCAGAATATATTTATTAATGAGGACAAGTTAAAAATATAATACGCACGCATAATCTGATTAGCATGCATAAATTACCATCTTTTAAAAGCTTGATTAGCAACCATTGAGTCTATATGCCTAGTGATTTGTGAGAAATAAAACCTTAGTAAACTTAGCGTTCAGATTTTTCAAAATTCTGCAGGCACGAAATTTCATAGTGATCTTCCACAGTGCTTACAAATAACAGAGGTCTGCGGCTTCTAGTTTATTATTCATCACTGTTGTGCTGCTTGGTCCAAATGCTAAACCTGAAGCAAGGCTTCTGTCAAACCAGACTGCACAAACGGAGAGAGACAGCGGCTCCTGTCAAAATTAATAAGCAAAAAAACTTAAAAGGCAGAATCTTCGTCAATGGCACTCAGAAGGAAGCCATCTGACCGGCGAGCCTGAACAAATTCACCTGTGGAATACAGTAGGGCTTTAAGAAATTCGTGTTATATCATTAAGTGACCCCCAAAGCAAACGAAGTCCAAAGGATGCATTACTGATGATCCGGCTACGAAGTCCATTCAAAGTCACAGACGCCAGGAACAAAATGACTGAGGCCGGTGTTTGAATCTATGTAACTTAAGTTGGTGTGAGTTTTTTAAGCTCAATTAATTGAAATGCAGCAGAATGGGATTCCAGAAGTTTCATATGTTTCGATTTCCTAACATCAAGAATCTGGCACTGAGTTCTTAACATAAGCTTTTTGTGTGTATTTTTAAGCCACACCAGTGATTTAATTACAAAGCAGTTATCTAGTTAAGTGTAATATTCACATACTTTCCCCTTCTCTCTATATGCATCCACACACACACACACACACACACACACACACACACGTATGTACAGACACATTTGTATTTATATGTGAATAAACCTCTGTGTGCATATGTCAGTGCAGGTCTAGGACAACATACTATCCATCACCCTTATTCTCATTACTTGGCTTCAACTTATTCAAACAATAGGAAAAGTATGGATCACCAAACAATATACAATTGATCCCATTTTTGTAAAAAGATTCTAATGGCATGTTGCGTGGCAACAGGAAGGAAGGAATTTAGCGGTTCTCAACCTGTGGGTCGTGACCATCGGAAAACACATATAGCATATCAGATATTTACATTACGATTCATAGCAGTAGCAAAATTACAGTTATGAAGTAGCAACAAAAATAATTTTATGGTTGGGGGTCATCACAACATGAGGAACTATATTAAAGGGTCGTGGCATTAGGAAGGTTGAGAACCACTGGAATAGATGAATGTATGTGTATGTGCACATATACTAGTATATTCGCAATAAATGTGAATTTGAAAGATACATATCAAAATTTTTAAAGAGATTATCTTAGGGAGCAGAGTACTTTATTTTAGTCTTCTCCTCCCTCCCAACCTCCTGCCATGTCCCTTCATCCCTGCTGCCTACATACAGCTTTGCTGGCCTTCTTTCTCTCCCCAGATCTCCCCAACACATCCCACACCTCAGGGAAGCCCAACTACCAAGTTCTTATTTGACCAGTTTGTGAAATATCATTTTGAAACTAAATTAATTCATGCCTGTGCTCGGGTGAAAAAAGAAAAACTGCTAAAACTCTCAGCCTCTATTATCACAATTTACACAGTCAAACTACTCGAGTGGTGCTTTTTCTAATACACTGACAACAACATTAATGACTTGGAAAATTTAGTAGCAAAAATTAGATATGCAGACTGTTGGAAAAAAATACTTTCTCTGAGGCTCACATCTCTTAGCAAAGTCTAAATCAGACTAATTAAAGGCAAGCAGCGGCTTGCTCTCTGTCTGACTTTCACAGACCAAGTTTACTATGCAAACCTGACCATTATTAATAGTAACTATCGAAATTTTAACTTTTAGGATGAAAATCAAAATTGAAAGTGCTGCATGCGATGCAGAGGAACCACAGGAAACGCGTAAGTGGGTCCATTCACACTCAGCGGCGTCACCGTCCCTGTTCTGCAAAACCCAATGTGCCAAGCATTTCCCTCCGAAAAGCGATCAGTGGTCCCCTAAGGTATAAAAACGCTGCACGGAGATTCATAAGACACATGAGCACATGAAACAATGGGCAAGTCTGCCCATCGAAATTCTCTCTTTAACGCACTACTTTCCAAATGTATATATAACCACGGTCCACTTTTTCACCTGTTAACACCTCACTGAATTAAACACTAATACTCTAGGACAGGGCTTCTCAAACTATAACGTTAAAACACATCACCTATGTTTACACGACCTCAGTAAAATGCCGATTCTGATATGGCAGGCCTGGGGTGGGGCCTGGGGTGGGTTTGCGGGGGGGCTTAGGGGAGGGGGGCCTGGGGTGGCCTGGGTGGGGGCCTGGGGTCTGTGTTTCCAACACACCCCCAGAAGACACCAATGCTGGCCCAGGGACTCTCTTCAGCAAGGACTGGAGAAGACACTTTTTTTTAACTTTTTATTCTTGTATGTGCCCTGACCGGGATCGAACCCGCAACCTTGCTGTATCCGGACGATGCTCTAACCAACTGAGCTACCCAGCCAGGGCCTAGAGAAGATACTTTGAGGAAGGCTACCCTACAGAGCCTTCTTCAGAGCTCTACAGTTTTGTGATGTGATTTTACAAACGACTGTCCATGAATTAACTGGAAAGCAAAGCAGAAGGGGACTAAGTCAAAAACAGGAAGAAGGGGGCTCTAAGGGTACGTGGCACTGACAGAGAATTAGACGAGGAAAGGAATAAAAATGAGTCCGAATATAAAGGGACCCCTCCCTAAGGCAGGCAAAAGAATGGGGGAAAAGGTGGAGGAAGAGGAGGAGGGGGATGAGGAGGAGGACGAAGAGGACGAGGTGCAGGATGAAGAGGAGGAGGGGAAGGGGGAGAAGGAGGAAGCTGAGGGGGAGGCATGAGAAATACTAGTGTATAGAAAGGACATTTTCTAGCTTTTCATTACTGACATGGGACCAGCAGGCAGAGCCATTTCCATTTTAATCACTAAAAACTCTCACATCATCTTCGGATGAGCGGCCTACGGTACACAGGTTTGGCAAAGTTCAGAAAGGTCCCTTGAGATGAATATTAATCCTACAGAGATGATATTCCTCATCCACTAAAACTGCGGAAGAAAGTTTTAAGGTAGGGCACTGGGCGAAGGGGATGGCAAACCTTTTCCTGGATTAGTCTCTGCAGGTGGATCCCACAGGACAGCATGGCGGTGAACAGGGTCAGCAGGTACTGCTGGACTCTGCAGATGGCGGAGGCCAGGGCGGCGATCACCGAGGTCAGGCCCACCTTCTCAATGACGTTCTGGAAGGCGGACGGGGAGTGGCGAGTGATCCTGCACAGGGCCTGCGGAGACAGGGGACGGGGCCTCAGGCACTCCAAGGGCAGCAGCCAGGCCTGTGCAGCGTAGAAGGCACTTACCTCGCTCCTTCGTCACTGCTTTTGGCTTAAGTGAGTTGGAAATTATCAACACATTTAAAAATAAAACAATAATCCAGCTGCTAATGAAAACTAACGTTGTTTTAAAACATTCGCTACTCTTAAAGTAATAGTCATATAAGTTATGGTGAGCTAACTATGATAAACTAATTCATAAGTCTAGATAGGAAAACTTCCCCTTAAGTAATGAACATCATTAAGTGCCCTCTTTTGCAGACACTGAGCTAGGGGCTGGGGAAATAGTCACAAAAGTATGTATCTAACATTTATTGTTTAGTATGTGGAGAACATCTGCAGACTAGCTCATTTGATTCTCCCAACAATAGGTAAGTGAAGTATTATTATTAACCCCATTTCATAGACGGTAAAACTAAGGCATAAAATATTTAAGCCATTTGCCCAAAAACATATAGCTAGTAAGTGGCAAAGCTGGAATTCAAACTGAGGTTATCAGACCCCTGGGCTTTTCCTAAATTGCTCATAAACTATTAGAGATAAAGCCTGTAATTAATAAACTAACAGAATGTAGTACGTGTTGGAATAGGAGTGGGCTCAGTAATCGTGCTCAGAAAGGCAGGAAAGGCCACTCAGCCACAGCTACCTCAGCAAGGTGTGCTGAGCCAGTTCCTGCAGAGGAAGGAGGAAGGGAGGAGAATTCTAGGCAGAGAGAGAGAATGAGGATTCCCATGGCGAGGGGAGATGAAGAGCGTTTGTCTGATGCAAGCAGACCCTGCTTCGGGGGAAGGAGGGCAGACAGAGAGTAGGAAAGAGGAAAACAGGATCCATCTGTAAAAGTAGGCCCAAGCCAAAGAAGGCCTACCAAGCTAGGACCTTCTAGTTGTATGCCGTGAGCCAGCGACTTTAAACTGGTGTGTGGCAAGAATTTTCAGAACATGCATTACCTGACTATTTAGTCCCTTAGATTGTCAAATAAAAAGTGACAACGGCCAACACAACAATAGCTGTCGAGTGTGAGTGAATCAAAGTTATATCTATTTTTTGTCAGATCGGCAAAAATACATTTTTTGGCGTGCTGCAGAATTTTGGTAATTAGTTTATGTGTGTCATGAGATGAAAAAGGTTGAAAATCGCAGCCATAAGCAAAGGGAAAACCTCAAAAGTTTTAAGTGAGAGAGAGGCATGGTCATATTCCGTGTGTCCATGGGAGACTTCAAAGAGAGACATAAACTTAGGCCAGAAATAGTTTTACAAAAACATTCCTTATATTTAATGTCATAACCTCCTTCCTGATTTATATTTAAAATGGATTTATAGCCTTGATTATGAAAAGATCAAATATAAGATGAATTGCTATTATGAAAAGATCAAGTAAAAGATGAATTGTTAGAAATATTACGATGTCAAAAGAAAGGACGGCAGGCGGGAGGGAGAGAAAAGACAAAGACTTTGAAAAATATTTTCATTTTCTTGAACATCTCAGGAAAAATTTTAATATTTGTTCCATCTCCAAGAATGAACTTCCTTTAGAAGGTATTCCTATTGATGAAATAAGGAAAACAAGTGCTGGCTGGCATAAAGTCAATCTCCCACCAGAATGACATGTTTAAAGTGGATGTATTTCTTTTCTGCCAAACCACACTTCCAGTCTTTATGAAAATGCTAATGTGACCTATTAGAACCAGAAAGGAACAGGTAACACACACAGCTGTCCTCAGGAGTGAGAAACGGAGGTGAGAGGTAGAAAAAGAAAAAAGGGCGCCCGGCCAGGGTGGCTCAGTGACTGAGTGTTGACCTATGAACCGGGTGGTCACGGCTGGATTCCGGTCAGGGCACATGCCCGAGTGGCGGGCTCATCCCTAATAGTGGGGACACAAGAGGCAACTGATCAATGATTCTCTCTCATCATTGATGTTTCTATCTCTCTCTCCCTCTCCCTTCCTGTCTCTGAAATCAATAAAAACATACAAAAAAATTTTTTTAAAAAAGGACAAGGAAGAGTCTTCAACCTTTTCTGTCTGTACTGTTCAAATTTTTCAAATAAATGCCTATTATTTTCTTAGGATTTTAATTACATTCCAATGCCATGACTGCATTAGACATTTTTAAAATTACTACAAGGAAATAAGCATTTACAGGAAAAGCTTACTTTATTAGTAATGTCTACATTTACTACCATTTCTGAAGTTACTAAGCAAACAAATATATTGAAAAATGAACATCTGCAAAGCACTAATATATACTGTTCCCTAAAAAAAAAAAAAAGTGTCCCTTTCTTCATGGAACTGATTAGCAAGTCGGATCCTTATAAAAGTCCTGTCTTAATCATTCAAAAAGGACAACAGGATCTCAAACTGATATCTGCACTCCCATGGTCATTGCAGCGTTACTCACAACAGCCACGGTATGGAAACAACCTAACCACCGGCAACAGATGACGAGGGGGAAAAAAATGTGGCCCATACAATAGAATGTTACTCAGCCGTGAGAAACATGAAAATCCTGCCATTTGTGGCAACATGGATGGGCCCTGAGGACATCCTGCTGAGTAAGGTAAGTCAGGCAGAGAAAGACAAATACGGTATGAAATCACTCACATGTGGAATCTCAAAAAGCTGACCTCATAGAAACTCAATGGTGGTTGTCGGGAGTAAGAGGGTGGGGAAAAGGAAAGATGTTGGTCAAACGGCACCAACGTCCAGTTTTAAGATGAGCAAGTTCTGGGAATATAATGCAGAACATAATGATTACAGTTAATAATATTGTGATGTATATTTGAAAGTTGCTAAGAGAATAGATCTTAAATGTTGTATCACAAAAGAGAAATGACAGTTATCTGATGTGAGGGAGGTGCAAGCTACCACTATGGTAGTGATCATTTTATAATATACTAGAGGTCCGATGCACAAAAATTCGTGCAAGAGTAGGCCTTCCTTCCCCTGGCTGCCAGCACCGGCTTCCCTCTTGGAACCCAGGACCCAGACTTCCCTCCACCCGCCGGCAGGCACCCAGGACCCAGGCTGGCTTCCCTCTGGCCCTGGCTTGGTCAGGAAGGACATCCGGAGACGTCCGGTCAAATTAGCATATTATCCTTTTATTATTATAGATAAGGACCAAATCAGCATGTTGTACACCTTAAACTTACAGTGTTACATGTCACTTATCCTATATAATAAAAGGCTAATATGCAAATTGACCAAAGAGCGGAACGACCGATCGCTGTGACATGCACTGACCACCAGGGGGCAGATGTTCAACGCAGGAGCTGCCCCCTGGTGGTCAGTGCACTCCCACAGGGGGAGCGCCGCTCAGCCAGAAGCCGGGCTCATGGCTGGCAAGCGCAGCGGCGATGGCAGGAGCCTCTCCCACCTCCACAGCAACGCTAAGGATGTCTGCTGAGGGCTCCTGGACTGCAAGAGGGCGCGGGCTGGGCTGAGAGACCCGCCCCCCAAGTGCATGAATTTCATGCATCGGGCCTCTAGTATCTCAATAAAGCTGAAAAAATAAATCACTGACTCCATTTCAAACTTAAACCAGAAATCTGTCTTCATTTACAGGCAGCCATATCAGAATGAAATTCCATGATATAAACTCTACTGTAAACACCTTTCAAGTAACTTTTCAGTCTCTCCTCTTTCTTCCGAGGGAGTCACAGGTGGCTAAGTTGGATGCCACAGTTTGGAAGCTATGAAAGTAGACTTTTTCACGTCTACAGCCCACACTGTATCTGTTTCCATAGAAAAGTAGCAGCTAGTATCTGGAAGCGGGAACAGGAAACATAAATTCACTAAAAACAAATCTGGTTCGGAAAGTGAACGTTTTAAAAATTCATTTATGATAATCCTAAGAAAATTGCTGTTTAGGAAATCAAAACAGAATTGTTTCATTATTTTTCTAATCCAAGGATTTAAAAAAAGAACATTTTCAATGGAGTCCTTAAAGATCATGCTACAGCCAGAACTTTTCAAGCAAATTAAGGGTCCCCCCAACAATGACTTCATTACAGAGAAAAACTGACTTTTTATCGATATAAAACCCCTACCCAATCACAAAGGGCACATTTCGTGATCAGAGACTTCTCAAGACCACTTCTGAGCGTATTCAAAGCAACATAGGGCGACTGGAATGGTCTGGTCTTCGGAATGCTGCTCAGAAGCCCAAGCCTCTCCATGAACTGGCCGCTCTGGATATTAAGCTCTGGTACAGGGCTTCTTGGAGGCTTAAGAGCACATAAGTGCTCGTATTTTCTGAATTTAAAAGAAAAATCAGATCTCAAGTGGTATGGTTTTGAAGTATTTATTTATTTTAAAATAGAGTTTGAGACGACATTCTAAAACTGGGAACAATAGTTCCAGTTCAAAATTTGCTTCCAAAAGAACATTGCATGACCTTCAGAATTTCTAGTCAATAAAAAGCTCTCTGAGAAATAGACTAATTCAAAGAGAAAGCTGTGTACGTATTACATATGTGAACAGGATCACTGCCGAAGAAATTTAAGAATCATTCCTCTTTTGTCTTTTGAATGTTTTACATGCCATATTAAAACCACCTTGGAAGTTTTTTCAAACTACACACACTCTCCTCCAACCAAGAGATTTGAAAACATAAGAATAGGGGCAGAGAGGGGATAAGAGGACAGAAAAGAAAAGAAAAAGAGACATTTTTTGTATAATTGGCAAAATGTCAGTGAAAAATTATTTAGATGAATGCTAAGAACAAAATACCAGAAGCCCAAGATGAAAAATGAAGCTTCATGGGTCAGATGAAGAAAGGGCTAGAAAGTACAAGACTTTGGTGCGAACAACTGGAAAAACTTAGCCAAGAAAAGAAACCATGCAGATATAAAGATGGATGTGAGAACATGAACCCAATTCAAGCAAGACAGATTTTTTTAAAGGCCAGGATTAAAATGGATGCCTTAGGATATAATCCCAAGACGCCTGGAGAAAGTTCACTGGCGTAGTCTGTGACTAACTCTCTGACGGCTCCTCCATAATTACTCACATGGTAATTAGGTTTTGTAATTTTGAACTCACATGGCTCCTGAAGCGGGGTGTGTGTGTGTGTGTGTGTGTGTGTGTGTGAGATGCTATATATCCTTTGCTTAAGATACTCTGTGAGCAGGATTGCTAGCCCTTTATCTTCAAAACTACATAGGTGAATTAAGATAAGAACTAAAAAATATCCATAAATACCCACAGGATTTAGCAACATGCAAGTCATTACAGATCTCAACGGGATCAGCTTCAGTGACATCTTTAGGACAGAGAGCAGACTGGGTGGACAGGAACTGGGCCAGAAAGGAGTGATAATTTGTAATGACAACTCTGTATAAACAAGTATGGCGGTGAAGAGGGATATGCAGCCTGGAGTCCTTTGGACATATTTGTGTGCTTTTGCTTGGGTTTGTTTTGGTTTTGTAATGGGGCAAAGATGCTGATTAGAAAGCTCTGGAAGGACAGGTTAGAGATTTAGGAAAGAGCAAAAATAACCACCAAGTGAGGTTCCCAAACAGGGCCCAACACACAGGCCTGGAGAAACCCGAGCGGTTTGTCTGACAGGAGAAGAGACAGTCAGAGGCAGCAGGAGGGGAGAGCTGAGGAAGGTGTGGATGGGAACACACCTCTGATGTGCAGACTCAAGTGAGGGGAATTCCCACTGGATGTCCTCACCTTCCCTTGGGGAGTCATTTCCTGAGGGTGCCGAGGGAAAGGCGGGATTGGAGATGTAAGGAAAGCGGGAAGTTAGGGAGCAGCCACAGTGGGGAGTGCACGAATGAGCAGACAGAGACAGGCAGTGAGGCTGCCAGGCAACGCTGAGCGGTCAAGAGATTAGTGTCCAACCAGGGGACAGAAACTAATGTCACGAGGAAGGGCTGTATTTCTTCAAAAGACTAGTAAACAGATACAACCCTGTTAACACGTCTTCAAACATAATTCTCCTTTATACCAAGTTATTATGACCTTGTGCGCAAAGTAGCAGACAACGAATCAAAATACAAAACCCGAAAAACCACAGATGCCTGGGGATGAATTCATTTGAACCACATGATAAACCCATTTAATATAAAATCCAAGAGAGGGAGCTGACGGGAACACTAAAAATATACCAAACCAAATCCTGCTTTTCCACTATCGCCTCCATATAGTTTTGGTCATATCATGGTTCCTCCCCTCCTCCAGGTCCCAACAGAATTTCCTGACAGTGCCAATGTTGTCCAGCCCCTGCTGTGAAGCTTCTACTGTAGGAGAAAATCAAGTTATTGTTCTCACCAACTATTACTTGGAAGTTTCTGTTTCCTACCTATTCAATTACTCTATTTCACGCATAATTTTTGCAAGCTTGGTGTTTAAATATATGCGAATGTATCCCCCAAAGATGCTCCATCTTACCGATATTGCTGTGATCCTGAGAGAATCGACAGTGGAGTGTTTGAAGAGGTACCATAAGACGGGTCCAATCTCTCCCGTGATGAAGCCCTGGGCCTGCGCAGAGCAGGTGGTGCAGACGTTCTCGATAATCTTCGCTGCCATGTGGTTCACCACACGTTCCTCCTGCAGAAGGAGAGCAGAGAACGAGGAGGAGGTGAAAAGGGTGTTACTTAGTATGGAAAATAGACATGTCACTTTTTCATGACCATTGCCAATAAAGGCCCGACACCAGGAGGGTGTGAGCTGCCCCTGGATGGGTTAGGTGTTTTAGGAGGTGTGACCACGCTTTCAGGCAATTATGAAGCTATTACCAATAACCTAGCATAATATATTTTAATAAAAAAGCTGAAATAATAGGAAAAAACACACACAATAAAAGCATAACAAAACTGGAAGGTGACTTTAAAGACACAAGAAGCAGGCAGAGCAATCCTCAGAAGTCACTCAGGACCGGGAATAATTAGTGAACCAACTGGCCAAAGACCATCTACACATGAGGCATCGAGGAAAACCTAAGAAAGGTGTAGCCTCAGTAATGTGACCAAACAAACCCGTAAGGCGGTTCTGGATTGTCCTAACAGTGCTTAAAATCAGCCTCCAAAAGGATCAAACTGTTTCCAAGGAACTCAAATGAGTCCAAGAAAAAGGACAAAAGCACTTAAAAGAATTCAGAAAAACTCCAGCACCCAACAATATAAAAATCAGAGTGCCTGAAATCCAGTGAAATGTTACCACACATGCCAAGAAGCAGGAAAATGTGACTCATAAGAATCAGTAAATTCGCCCTGGCCGTGGGACTCGGTTGGTTGAGCATCATCCCGTACACCAAAAGGTTATGGGTTCAACCCCTGGTCCGGGTGCATGGGGTAGGCCACCAATCGATGTTTCTCTCTCTGCCTTCCTCTCTCTCTAAAATCAACCAAAAGCATATCCTTGGGTGAGGATTAAAAATATATAAATGTTAAAGTATTGTATGTCTGATGTAATCCCATGTTTGTTTAACAAAATGTATATATTTTTATTAATATATATACGTGTGTGTATATATATATA